GAAAGAGAACAACAATGCCAAAACTGCTGAGCAGTGGAAAGCTCTATAGAATACAAATACCAAGGAACAAAGTTTTCAGACACCTCTCCACAAATAACTGGAAGATTATACAGCACAGCCTATATCTCCAAATCTTTTTCTAATCTGTTGACTAGACCATACTTCTGTCTGGTATCCAAAATAATTTGGCACAAAATTCTTACCTGCAAAAACTCTCTGACATTTGAGCCCAAGACACGTAGAATTGTATCATAACCGGATTCTTGACAAAACACAAAAAACATCTTCCCAAACATTTGAAGAATTTCCCCGGCATTTAGATCTAGTTAAAACAGGAAAATATGATTCAGTCCAAACACTGCATTTCATGCATTTTGCTTAATACTTTAGTCTCATATTCATAGATAAGAAAGACAGTACCTAAACTCTACCCAGATCCAGCAGGTCAAGAATATGAGGAAAAACAAGATTTTGGGTCCACACGGCAAATAATGGGTATTCAATACAGGAATTTCATTTGGATTTACCAATTACCATTATGACTTTGCTGCATTGTGCATTTCACGCATGTATAGCATTTTAGATTTTGATGCAGATGATAGGAAATAATTACTTGAAAATAAAGGAACTCAGTTGTTAGTAGTGCTCACCTCAGGGGAGTTACTTCTGGTTTACAATAGCATGAAACCACATCAGCTGCTCCAATTCAACATAACTACTAGAGTCATCATAGTCTTATGAGTTCTTGGCTAGTTACTGATTCAGAACAAATTCATACCGCACTTGGGTGTGCAGATAAAATAATACTGATGGGCATAATTCTACCTTTGAAATTCCAGACCAGAGCTGCAATGACTGAAAATGAATGGGACCCGAATCAATGGCAGATATGAAATGAAATGTGCCCATGCCACAAACATTTCTGTTAACTGAGCATGCTTGTTCAGCAGAGCGATCAAGGACTCATTCACGGGCTGCTCTTGCAGCAGTGGTTGAAACCTGGGTGTATTGGCAAGGTAGCTACAGCGGTATATTGTTACTTCATGACTGCTTGTAATACTGACCGTGCTCTGTGGATGAGGTATATTACTGCAGTTTAAGGCATACCTATGACTTGGAATACTTTGGAAGTAATAAAAATCACCTCAAGTAATAAAAGTAATAGAATTATCTTAGATGAATAAAAAAAAAAAATCTTTTCTTCTGAGATTTTTACAAAATTCCCTCTTTGACCAATACCCTGTTTTCACTTCCTCTGTGCTAAATCCTGTTTCTCTCTGCTACATGGATTTTGGGGGGGGGGGGGGGGGGGGGTTCACTGGGGGGGGGGGGGGGGATTTATCTTTTATGTGATAACTGGGCAAAGAAGATATCTGTATTACTTACTGAGGACTTTGCTTGCAGCTGCAACCAGATCATAGGTTTTGGAATCATCGTAAATTATTCTGACAAGAAACTGCCCTTCTTCATCCAGCTGTGCCTCCTTCCTAAAAAGAACATAGAACAAAATCTTTTTGGTTGAGGGAGAAGCACCATATCGATAAATCAATTATATATTGCTTGGTATTAATCTTTTAAATAAAGTAAGTTTGTAGGTTCTACCTTTAAGAAGCTACTTAGGATAGAAAATTAGAAATAAATCTGTTCCATATCTCAGAGTCATTAAGGTACAATATAAATATTTCAGACCACCTGTGTTCCAAGAATAATAATTAGCTGTGAGAAAATAAACACAATTTTTCAGTACAGAGCCTCACAAAGAAGTTGCTGAACTAATAAGGACAGAATTTATATTTTAAAATAGGGGAATATCAATAATCCAGCCCAAGATGGGCTCTTTAAACACTTTTTAAGCAAGTGGTTTCGTTCCTTCCAATTTTGATTACACTTTATTTACAAAAGGCATGGGATGTTTTTAACAACCATTTGCATATATCTTCAAAGAGGAATCTAAAATCCAGATGTAGGTACCTAATCAAACACCTTTTTTCCAGAATTCTGCACAGACCCAGCAGATAGAAATAAAAAAAAGGATTCTAAGATTTTGTAAGGCCTTGTTCTCGCATTGCACATCAGTTCTTCATGAGTAAAGTGTCACCACTTAACTAAAGCACAATAAAAATATACATTTCTTCACTAAAGGAAACAATTCTCAACTCCAGGTTTAAGACAAGACTCATGCATATGTCACATGCACACTCACTCCTGCTGCTAAGTAAAAAACCAAAACAAAATGACTCCTTTGTTTTTCAGGATCATTTGTTATTCTCTTCAGCTTGAACATTGAGTCAGCAGCTTGTCCAAAAGGCAGCACAACTCTGTAGGCTGTTTTTTTTTTCCCTGAGGAAAACAAGTCAATATCCCTAGGCAATGAACTGCTGTGCCTTCCAAGCCTTGTATTTGACACAAGTGAGTTGCTAGGGAGGGCCCACAAGAGTCTTCCTCCCTGTTGTACCCCATGTGCTTAACACAGGAGCCAGGCCACTGGTGTTGCAGTGGTGGCTGAGTCCCAGCTCTCTGGAGGAGGACAAGGAGCACCTTCGTGGGCAGGCAGACACCAGGACCCTGAAGGGCCAGCTGCCCCGTGTGGCTGGTCCTGCTGTGCAGAGTGTGCCAATGGACATGGCCGTGACTCTGTCCTGTTGCAAGTGCAAGTCGCATTCTGTGTTTGCTCCTCATTCCCTGGCATGTTCTCCTTCAGCAGAGAGAGGGGGACGTGCAGGGGGCAGACTGTGGTCTCCAACGAAGCCATGCTTTGTTTGTTGAAGTCCTCATCTGGCAAAGGGGCACAGCCTCCTTTCTCAGTATAGTTTTTATAATAGCTGTTCACCTTCTGTGATCTCGCCTACAATGACTCTCTATAAAGACAATGTGCTTTGCAGAAATAGTGACAAAAGAGGAGACATTTGTAGGTACTCATGCTCTAATTTATGTGCTTAGAATGTATTTTGGCTCAGCAAAACTAATATGATCATGGCATCGCTAGTATCTTTGCAGGTGGAGGGTCACGGCTACCTCATTAAAAAGACAAGATCCCCTTTCATCTAAACGCAGATCTATGCTGCAGAACACTTCAGAAAGACAAAAGAAAGGCAAAGAGGTAGGAAAGCCTAGAAGAGAATGACTGAATCACACCTTCTTATGTCACAGCAAAAAAACAAAAAAATTAGCACAGGGAGTTGTTCTTCAGAAAAAGCCTTAGAATTAGAAAAAATATCAAAAAGGCAGACAATGAGGTAGTTTTTTATAAAAAACCAAGCATATGTCATGCAAATCAAGACATTCATCATCTCAGGACTGGAATAATTATTTTTCTAACATACAAATGAAAGAGAACCATGAGTAAAAAATTATTTACTAGTATCATGCTAATGAAGGGCTTTTACCAGCCTAGGACAGAAATGCTACTTGAGATAAGGCTGAAACATACAGTGTAAGAGCCAATATTTCTAACTGCTCTAAATTTCTAATGGTCATCAGAGGAATTATAAACCTATAAAATAAATAAACCTATAAATCTATTATGTAAAATCCTACATCCTCTTTTACATCAAAATCTTTGTCTCCATCATCATAACGTGATCAACCATCAATCAAAACAAGAGTCTTTGACTGAAACTTAGATTCTAATTTTCTAGAGCTGGCATAATTCATTTTAAAAATGAAATAATACAAAATAATAATGCCTGCACAACAATTCAAGCATTTACAGTTGTAGTGGAATTATCCAGCCATACAAACAGAAACATTTTCTGTGTTACACAAGGCGGAGAGAGGTCTGAGAATTAAGTACTCTTGTTCATCTTAAAACTGCTAGGTGGCAAATGGTACTGCTGATACAGCCTGATTCCAATCTCATATGGTAGTACTGTATTTACCTAAATGAAATTACTTGTAATTTAATCCTCCAATTAGTAATCATCAGTCTTTGATAAACTGTTATCAATGGAAGTCTGGAACCGTTATTTTCTTTTTCCTCTTCATCTTCCTTTAATCTTGCTCATCACATTCTTACTGCTGATCAAAAATTATACATTGGTTTTATATTTCAAAAATATATCTACTTTTTAAAATTAATTAATGAACTGCTACTTGACATATACATTTTTATACTCACTCTATGAATAGGCATAATGAGCTTAAAACAAGCTAAGCAATTTTCCCAAAGTAATATGACAAGGCTATAGGGGAGGTAAGACCAAATATCCTATATAATTCTACATAAAAGGAACATAATCCTCTATTCAATGGCATGAGAAACATTAATAAACTTAATGGTGTGGGTTTTTTCTTAAACTCTTCGGGAACTTCCCAAAAGGAGTAAAAGAACAGACAGTAGCAAGCAGGACAAAACTGGCTTCAAGAGTGTTTTCAGAGATACAAAAAGATACAGTATTACCTTTTTTAAATCATCAATTACAATAATTTATTCATTACTTGAAGAAACTGTGTATTTATACAGAAGCAAGCAGAAATGGTATGCGTACACACAGTCCCCTAAAACACTCTTATTTTCATACTCCAAAATAGTACTTCTGGTCTTCTTCCCCAACCATTCTCTAAAAACTTCTGATCAGCCTGCAGGATATCAGGTCTCACTGATTCCTGAAAACAGCTCCCATGCCACATATTCCCTCTTTTCCTAAGCAGGAGGAGAGCTGGAGTTACTGATGGGAAACATTGTCTTGAAGCATATGAGGTTAGTCAGGGACAAGAAGGTAGAGTTTATATTTCCTAAGCACTGAACTGAAATTAATATGAGAAAAGAAAACCATCTTGATTCTTTGATTCTCACAACATGATATGTAACTGGAAGTCAGATACAGTTTGGAGGGAAGTTTGCAAAGGGTGAACAAACTTTCCCACATCTCTGAAACACACTGTGATTTCTTTTAGTTTCTCTGATCTCAGCCAAACCACAAAAGATAACATACACATCTGGAAAAGCAATGAACATCCTCAAAAATACTGCATACTTGCACAATCCAGTAGACACAGTTTTTGTGTGTGAGAATTTCCCTGTTAAAAATTGACCCAGTTTGATGATGCCAGTATCTCTTTCAAAACTTCTTACATTTCTTTCCAATTACATTGGCTGCAACTTTTCCTGTTTCCTTCTCTGCACCAAGCCAGAGAAGGCTTTTTTCTTATTTTAATTGTCTTTAGTTTACTTTGTCAAAGTTTTTTCTTCAACAGCTGAGGTTCTCTGAGCCACCACTTTTTCAAATCACCATTGGTTATTAAAATGCCTATTCCATTTAGATTATTTTAGCTATCTTGTTTTTCTCCAGTTTTCTCTAGATGCTTTGGATCACTCGGCAGCCATCTTCTCTGTAGCCTTAATGATGTATTTCCCATTAAAATAACTTTATTGATGAAGTTAAACAAAAAATAGTTCCATTAGCACTCACATCTGCATTCCTTGGATATAATTTTCTGGGGTGAAATTCCCTGCTAGAGCCTTAGAAGGCTTCACTCTGCCTCAGTATTAGCAGTCTTACCGTGCATTCCAGCAGTACAGGAAAAGGACCCAGTGCTTGTACTGCAGGCTTATATTCCAAAACAAAAAAAAATGTCCTGTCTTTTAGTTATTTTTATTTTCAAAAGACAGAGAAAAATACATTAAAAAAATGTAATCCAACAAAAGCCAATCTCATTTGGGGAAATTTTTTCTAGAAAATTTGTCAAATTAAATATTTACTCCTGCACGGGATTACACTCCTTGCTCAAAACCATATGGGCAACAATCTCTTTGCTTGTCCTGCAAATATGGCAAATCCCATGACAGTCTCTGATCTAAACCTGTGTCAAAAGATAAACTGCCTTTTTAAAGTCTGTTCTTGAAAATTATTATATTCCAGAACTTTTTTTTTTCCTTGCCAGGATAATTCCCTCTCCATACCTCTGTTCCCTGTTGCGCTGGTACATCCCAATCATTTAGCTAGATGCTGAGCTGAAATATAATTCAGTTAGATATTTGTTCTTCTGGATTATTTTTCTGCTGGATGGATTTCCCTGTCTGCTTCATCACCTGGTCACAGAAGTGGGTGTGCATACAGAATAATGTGTAGCCAGACGAAGTGACTGAGGACAGCATAGGAGGTTCAGTGAAGTCAGCTGAAGCCTTTCCCCTGCCTCCAGTGAGCTGCGTGTGCAGCTTCTGAAGCCTTCCTGACTCCCTCAGTAATCTGACAGTCGTGAGAACTTCCAAAAGTCTTTCTCTCTGAAGAATTTGATTAGCCTTAAGACTGCATGTGATGGGAAATGCTGCTGTAAGCTTATCCAAAATGGCCAATGCAATATGAAAACACTCCTATTTTTACAGACGCACTTGTCCTTCAGCAAGTCTACAGAATTGCAGGTCATCTAAAAAACTTGTATGGGAGAGCATATCAGCACCAGAGAGGCTGATCATGATGTGACCACCAGCACTCTAGGAAACAGGACAAAGTCATTGAAATGTTCATTCAGGTGAATGGGC